TGTAATTAGTCAAGGGCTCTTTTAATTTGGGGCCTTTTTTGGTATGGGTTTATAGTTGTGGTTTAAGCCTAACCTTTGGTTAGTATTGGGTTGGGTCCTTACTTGTTCTCCCATTCACATGGACTTCCATCTTTTGGGCTGAAAATCATATTTACATTAATAGAATTAACATTTACCCTTAAGAAAAAAAAAAAAAAAAAAACAAAAAAAAACATTGTAACCTAATGGTATTTCCTCGCTTTCCGGTCCTCGTAGAGACAAATTAGGTATGTGAGTTTCTTATCAAGTTAAAAAAAGTAAGAGCATTGAATGAAAAATATATATATATATATATATATATATATATATATATATATATATATATATATCATTACCAACATGCCAGTGGCCTAGCGGTATCAGTTTCTTACTTCCCAAAGGGAGGTCAGGAGTTTAAGTCTCAGAAGAGACGTGTGTGTGAGTACCAACTAGGAAAGAAAAAAGTCATTTCTCAAAAGTGTTGTAAGAATAGAATTTTAAGTGCTGAACTACTGCTTAAAAATTTATACCATTTTGAGTGACAAGTTCTTTCAAATGATTTACTAATTGCATAGTCAAATACACTTAATTAAATAAGGACTTAAATTTTTATAATTAAGTGTAGAAAACGAATATAAAACAACACCTAACGCTTTGTTTGGAATGCTGGATTTGATGGAATTTGGATTTGGAAACAGGATTTGCCTTGTTTGGAACTACAAAATTACAAATGGAATTTGATAATTATAGGATTTCAAATACCTTTTTAATTGCGTTTCAAATCCAGTCTAAAAGGCCAGGATTTGATGGTATAAATATTCATTAATTATATATTTCCTTAATTAACCCTCCAACATCTTCTTGTTATTAAACCCTTCTTCCTATTAAACTCTATCCTATTAAATATCTACTACCATATCTCATTCTCTATAATAATACCATTATTTTAATGTGTGTGTGTGTGTGTGTGTATATATATATATATATATTTTTCCTTTGAGTGTTGAGAAATGGATTTCTCAAAATTACCAAAGGTCGATGTTTCACAGATTGATCTACCACCACTTTTGTATTCTTGTACTTCAAAGATGTACACTACAGAATTTTATAACCAAAAGTCATACTTCAATCTTTCATAATTCACACCACTTTTGTATTTGAAAAATCTATATAAAATACAGAATTGCTCCAATCCTCCATAGTTCACACCAATTTTTTTTTTTTTTTTTTGTTTAGTATACTTTAATATCTTAAATTACGTAACTACGTTTAACAGATTGAGATTGATTTACCACCAGTATTCTTGAATTTGAAAAATCTACAATACAAAATTTTATAACTAAAAGTCTGTTAAAATTTACTTATAACAAAAAGTCATAGAAGCAGAATTTTATAACCAAAAGTCATATTATCCAATTCTTCAGAATTCATAGATAAGTCATTTATATATATAAAAGCTAATATTGCCAATATTATCTTTAATAATTGATAAGTGCTTAAATGTTGCACATTTCAGCACCTAAGTTAGGGTATTTTAGTCTTTGCATTTATCTTATTTTTATGTTTTATTCCTAATTTATGTTTATGTCTATTTCAGGGCAATAGTGTTGTTGATGAATAAATAAGTTTTATACTTGAATTCCTTGTACGTTGATTCTTGTGATGTCTATACATATGGCTAATTAGTTGTATTTGTATTCCAATTTGATGGAAATTGCTTTTACTAGATGGATGGTACTACACAAATAGGTCAATTCATTTTCTAATTAGTTTAATTTCTTACTTAGTTAGTTCAATTTAAATTTAATTAGTTTAATTGCAATTAATTCCTAGGTAAGTAGACCATCCATGCCTGTGTTTGAATTCCATGCTTATTGTCACAAATACATTATCTTTTAGATTAATGTAGGCTAGAATTGTAACTTGAATTGATGGATCATTCTTTGGATTGGTGAATTGCACTACTTTTAGTTTATTTGTTATTAGGTAGGCAATTCAAGGTTGAAACTGATACTTCATACTTTTCTTTGTAAGTATTAGCTACATTAGAATTACATTTAATTCTTTCTACAATTAGTTGAAAGTAAGTGAGTTAGGGAATGTGCTTAGTGGTGAATCCTACACCCTAAGTCTCTTTCCAATCTTTTAAAATCTATTATTTTATTGCAATCATTTAGCTTTAAATTAGTTCTAATCACAAAACAAAATCTCTTTTCAGCAATCATATAGGTACTAAAGTAGAATTCAATTCCAAAAACCAAGTTTGTTTAGATCTCTTGGGACGATCCTGCTCGCTTCATACTCCATAGTATAAGTGTTTAGTGATTTTATAAATTATAAAATATGGTGTCTACTTGACATTATTTCAAAACCTAAAGTGTTGTGCATTATTTTGTGCACACGCTTGGTCACACCAATAATTGTTTTGTATATATATATATATATAAATAAATTTCATGTTACAGAGTTTTATCACGTAATCATTCCTGTTATTTGTCTTTAACTTTGGAGTATATTTTACAATAAAATAAATCCAATTTGTGTTATATTATTTTTATTCAAAATCCCATTTTAAATCCAATTTGTTCCAAACATATAAATAGAATTTCATTTTAATTCCAATTCCTATTCTAATTCAGATTCCTTTTCCAAATCCTAAAATAATTTATTCCAAACAAAGCATAAGAGTATTTTTTACAACAGTTGTGGAATTCCATATTTTGTAAAGACGATTGTTTTTCACACATGTATTTTTTTAGTGATATTCTAATTGCATTGTCAAATGCACTTAATTGAATAAATTTTTTTTTTTTTTTTTTCCAAGGCAAGAAACATACCCATACCATACACTTACTTTTGCTTCTACAAAAACTTAAACCCTCTCGATCGTCTACTTTTGAAGGCGAGAACGTACCAATAGATTATTCAACCTTGATAATTGAATAGACACTTAATTTTCATAATTAACTACTGAAAAAGATTATATAACAACACTTGTGGAGTTGGGGTGTTTTTAAATGTGATTGTCACTTCATAAAAAATAAAAAATAATAAAGTAGGTGAAGTGTATGTTTATGGGGACCAGGATCAGCTCAAGTCCCACAGTACCCCATTTCCTCCATTTTGGGTCAATGAACAGTGTTAACCATGTTTGGGTAAAAAAATATATTTTTGGAATACAGAATTTGGTGTGTGTATATATATATAAATAATATATATATATACTGTTGAAGAATACCCTTTTTGTTCCCTCCCTCACTTCTTCTTCCTCTTCCCTCCCTCATTTCTTCTTCCTCTTCCCTCCCTCATTTCAGGCGTCATTTGAAATAGAAATAAAATACCGCCCTACACTTCTTCTGTCCCAAAATATGAATGAAGTCATTTTAAAAATTTATTTCTTTCCAAATAGAATCCGAAAGTAGCGATTGTTGTGTGAATTAACCTAAAATATGGATGCTACAAATTGTTTCCAAATAGAAGCAGCGCTTCTGTTAGTGGCAATAAAATTGCAGATTTCCTTCAAAAAAGAAGCAGCAGTGTATTTCGAAAGCTAAGCAGGAGTGTATTTCCAAATCGAAGTAGGAGATCGTCTTATTTCCAACCTTAAACAGGTACGATTCATAATTTTGAGATTTGATTTTGAAGGAAATCATCTTATTTCTATAAGAACTGAATGGCAGAAACAAATATATATAGACACAATTTTGGTAAAAAACCCAGAAATAGAAAATTAGAGATGGATTTGAATTAATGGCTTTTTCATTATGCAGTTATTAGGGGTATGAGTGTTTGTTTGTGAGGATAAAAAATGAGAGGATTTGTAGGGTACATGAGTGGCCGAAAAAAAGTGTTTCAGAGTGTTACAATGTTAAGAAAATGTTTGGTCATTGGGGTTGCATCGCAACATTTTCCTAAGTTTCATCCCAAGTTTTTGCTATTAAGCATCTCAAATTCTTCCTTATGTACATTCCAAAATATTTGTATAGTAAATCACAACATTTTCCTAACGTACATCCGAAAATTTTCGTAATATAAATCCCAAACTATTTGTAAAGTATATCCCAAATTTTTCCTTATGTGAATTCCAAAGGTTTCATAAATCACATCCCAACTTCTTGAAAACGTTCATCCCAAATTTTTCCTAAGGTGATTCCCAACTATTTCGTAAGGTGAATCCCAACTGTTTGGTAACGTAAATCCCAAATTTTGCGTAACATTAATCCCAACATTTTCAGAAAGTGTATGTGAAATTAGCATCAGTTGGTTGGACATATAAGTTCTATTGTGGCAACAATGATTTTTATCGTTGTTTGTCTGGGATATACTTGAAATGAAATGAATGTGTTAGGAACCTAATACGGTTCAGAACCCTATCAGAATGAGATATATGTCAAATTTCATTTCTCATACATGTGAAAAGGTTTTTTTTATTTGATTGGGCATACATGTGAAAAGGTTTTGTATTTGAGCCATTGAGATGGAGCATACTTGGGATGTAGAAGTAAAATTATTTTTTGTTAATTCAATATTTTGTGCATATGTGAGAAAAGGTTTTGTATTTGAGGCGTTCAAATGGAAGGTGAAGTAAATAATATTGAAGACACAACAAACAGACGAAAAGTTCCTGTTGTAGAACCGGAAGTGATTAAATGGAAACCAAGGTATAAAATGGAGTTTGATAGTGAGGAAGAGGCATAAATTTTTGACAATGCATATGGTGGTCGAATTGGTTTTAGCATTCGGAAGGAGTATGACAATAAAGTTAATGGAAGAATTACATCAAGGGCGTTAGTTTGTAGCAAAGAAGGTGTGAAGGGGACTGACAAACGAGATGTATTTAGAAAGACTTCCCGGGTGAAACACGAACCAATTGCAGTGCACGTATGGTTATTAGATATGACAAGACAAAGGCAAAGTACTTAGTTTCTAAATTTGTAGAAAGTCACAACCATCCATTCATAATTGCTAAATGTAGCCACATGATGCCGTCCCAGCGACGAATTTCCTCAGTCCAGGCCATCGATGTTGAGTTGGCTTCGGATTCAGGAGTTCCAGCTTATAATGCATATGAGTTGATGGGAACACAGTCCGGTGGCAAAAAATCAGTTGGGTACTTGAAAGTGGATCTTAAAAATTATTTAAGGACGCGAAAACAAAAGGAGCTTCTTTGTGGAGAGGCGGCATGGCTTGTGGATTATTTTGAGACGCGTGGTTGTGAAGATCCTTCATTCTTTTATTCCTTGCAACTAGATACTGAGCAAATGATTACGAATATATTCTGGTCAGATTGTAGAATGATCATTGATTATGGCCAGTTTGGAGATGTTATCAGTTTCGACACAACATACAAAGTGGTACATGGCAACAGACGATTTGTAATTTTCTTGGGTATGAATCATCACCGGGAGACCGCTATGTTTGGAGTAGCCTTAATGTATGATGAGACAGCGGATTCGTTTGTCTGGTTATTTGAAACGTTCTTAAAAGCGATGGGCGGAAAAGCGCCAAAGACGATTATTACGGATCAAGACGCTGCAATGGCGAAGGCATTAAAGTAGGTGAATAACTTTCATGCATCTCCATTCTTGTCACTTTCATGCTGAAACAATCGTATTATTTTAGTCGTATTTTTAGGATTTACAGTATTGCAACACGGGTATTAAGTTAATTAATCGTGCAGGTCATACCGGTGACGAAGCATCATTTATGTGTTTGGCACTTAATGAATAATGTGCAGAAGAACTTACTATTTTTGTTTAAATGCGTTGAAGGAATAAAGAAGGTCATCTCAAAATTAATGTTTGAAATTGAGGAGGAGGATGATTTTATCAGGAATGGGATTTAATGATTGCAGAGTATAGTGTTGTTGGTAATAAATGGCTTTCCACTTTGTTAGATTTGAGACATAAATGGGCCTTGGCATTTGTCAAGCACGATTGGTCTGTAAGAATGAGTAGCACACAATTGAGTGAAAGCTTCAATGGTCAATGGAAGTATTACCTTTCCAGACAACTCATTCTACCAGAATTCTTTACACACTTTGACAGATTGTTGTCGGACAAGCGGTACAAGGAGTATGAAGCTGAGTATGGCTTGGTGGAGAGGCAACCAGAACTAAAAATAAAGTGCCACATATTACGTCAAGCGGGGAAGGTGTACACCAAGGCAATATTTAAGCTTTTTCAGGAGGAGTTTTTAGCTGCTCTTGCAAGTCAGTCTGTTATTAGTTGCAGTGACTTGGATAACAATGGACACCGTGTTTATAAAGTTGCAAGTGAGGATGTGGTGCAACGTCGTGTGTGCAAGACATTTAAAGATGAATTGTCATGCTCATGTTGTAAATTTGAAAGAGATGGTTATTTGTGTAGGCACAGTCTGAAAATCCTTAAAGAGTGCATGTTTGTGAATGAGTTGCCTTCCCGATATATAATAAAAAGGTGGACTAGAAATGCTAGAGATGGTAGGATGGAGGAAATTGTTTCCACCGACGTGAATCTGGATCCTCAATTTGAGATAAGGCGATGGCATAGGACGCTTTGTCGTATACTGACTAAAATATCTTTTATTGCATCGCACGATCCCGAAGGATATAATGAACTATTAGAAAAGGCGTTAGACTGGAAAAGAACAATACAAATAACTTGTTGTCTTAGGTTTGCAGAGAAAATTTTAAGGGGTAAGGGAAAAATAAGGGTGAAAAGCAACAGTGGAATAATTTCCATGTCCTTGAAAGTTAAAGATACCTCTAAAGGACGATTTAAGAGGCTGAAACCAGCCATAGAGTTAAATAATGGGAAAAGGAAGAAGTCAACGAAAGCAACAGGGCAAGTATACGTTACTGTCGCACGCACTACTATTTCATTGTTTAACTATTTGAACATGCGAACAAAATAAATTTGATTTGATAACATTATATCCTTCATTATAAAACACTCGTGAGTGGAGGAAAGTAAATTTTTTTATGTTTTAGATATCAAATGAAGCCATTATTTTGGGAGACGTCGGTGGTAGCAATAGTCCGTCAACCCCGACCTACGTGTTAGTGAATGTGAGTATTATTGCAAGTATATTATATATAAGCAGTCACTATTCATGATAGTTGGTTAACATGTTCATTATGTTTAAAATTACATTGACAGTGTTTATATAAAATATTTTAGGGTGTAGAAATTCCCGTCGAATTTTTGAATGAAGAATCTTACGTAACACCACCAGCTATATTCCACAACAAACAGCTTAATATTGGTGAACCATGTACTTCATCAAATAACCATGTAAGTGTGTTAATTAAGATGCATTATTTTCTCTATTTGTCCAAATGGACCAATTTCAGGTATACATCTAAACAATATATTACAACTGATCTACATCAAACTCTGCCCAGACTAGGCAACATCAGAAAAAGTCACATGGGACATATCCTACACCAAACTCTGCCCAGACCAGGCAACATCAGCAAAAGTCACACTAAAACCTAATGCAAAACACTAATGTAGATTAGTTAGAATATTATCCATTTTTCGTTGACCTGCAACAATAAATTCCCCAAAACTCTTGATCGAAAACTGTATGTGATAAAAAAATTGACATCATTTTACCATCACACCAAGGACGAAGAAAAATGTTGATGTTAGTTCCTTTTCCAATAACATACTTACAGTTGATCTTTATAAAGTCCCCCAAATAGCAACTATAGTCTTCCATGTAGAAGTATCTGAAACCTTTGGAATGACTTGCCAAAAAGATGTATTCCTTAGGTAACATGAACAACCCAACCATCGAATTCCTATCGTTGGACAGTAAATAATCCGAAGCTAATACACAGTTTTCAGATAAATCAATATCTAAAATTCTTCTTTTCACCCCCAAACCACTTTCTTGTTGAGGAGCAGCAAGCTTCGTCCATTTAAAATTCCTCTTATCTTCATAATATCTTTATTGTGCCCCAAAATGAAGTTCCACATTGTTTTTCATATGCCCATAATGATGTATAAAATTCCCTTCTGCATCCTGAATGACAGTGATATTGGTTCTAGCCGTATGCTCTTTAATTTGCTGATGCAAAAACTTTCTGTACCTATCTTGGTCCTTCATCCATCTAATTCTTCTCTTGTGAGACAGAAGAATTGCTTCATTAGAGCTAGCACATTCAAATTTGTGTCTAATATCCTACTCCTCAATGAAAACATCATTTATAGGATTCTCGGCTAAAGTTAATTATAGTTGATCAAGAGACTTGTTAATACAAATAACCTTCTTAAAAACAGACCTAAACTTTACAAATCAGGCAATTTTGTACACCCTTGTAACCAATGTAAAATAGTATAGCACCTTTTGGATTAGATTCCCACCCATGACTATGAATCAGAGATAATGTTGCCAACCAGTGCTTGTTTATTCTAAACCAACGAAAGGCTTTAGACCATCACCAATGTGCAAAGGAATTTTCACTTTAAGTCCCTTATGATCTGAAATGAATGTTGTGGAGTAAGAATAATATGTGAACTTGGAAATACATTATCCTAATCTTGGTTCATAAGACCTTGATCCAGTGTTGTATAAACTCTTGTCTGACTAAACCTTTTAGTGCCTCATGTAAATTATCCATTATCCACTAGAATATCAGATAAACAAAGCTGATGAATGCTGTGGTTAAAATCATATAGCAATGAATTATAGGGGTTGCCTAATGCCTCCTTTCGTCTTACCTTAATATGTATTGTCAACAATATAATTGGTTCAGGCTGATATTGGCGATCCAGCCATGTTGTCATGTCAACTGTTCAATACGCCCTCTTCATATGATGAATCAAGTGCTCCACGTTTGGGAGGTGATGAGGTAATCATTTATTCCTTCTCCACTAATGTTTTTGTCATTGTTCTCATTATAAATGTGATGATAGATAACTGTTTACAAAAATTATTTGGATTACATTTGTTGTCCTTGTGGTTAATTAAAGACACCTGGGCAAGCAAATGTGACGCTAACATCTCGAATGGCAATGACGTCGGGGATGAATCATCCAATTCAACATCGACTCTTTGAATATTGAGAAGAAACTTGTCATGTAATTGACTTATCATTGATTGTGTGTATCCTTGTAACCTTTTGGACTTCTTGTACAAAGTTTATGGCCTACTTCAGTTGCCCTTGTTACCTTTAGCTATCATGTAATTTATCTTGTATTCATTGTTTGCATGCTTGTAACATTTTTCATATGTTAAGTATCACCGTCTTTTGTAAATTCACTGTTTGAACATTACAAAATGTATGTCTTATTTTGGGTGTGACTATGTCTTGGAAGGCAGAAATACAAAGGAGGTTCACTGCCAAATTGGATAGAGTGTTCGTTCAGAAATATTAATGTAACCCAAGCTATTTAAAGTATAAAAAATGTACCAATGGAACACTGAGACCAAAAATGGATGGCTTAGGTGTTGGAATATGTTGACCCTTTGTCCTGGGTTCGAGTCTCAGTATAAATGAGTGGCAAGTTTAGAAAAGAGGTATTCTAAAATACCTCCTTTTTCATGTAATGAATTTTTTTGATGGCCTGTTCTACAAAACATTACAAGGTAGGAAAACAATAAAATAATGTGTAGAAAATATTCTTATATTGTTTGACCTACACGGATCAAAGACATCAATCAATATAATATGTAAATATAATCCCAACACAATAATAAATGTGTAGTGGGGTAGTTGAATATTAATTCATGGATCAGAAATATTAATGTAACTCAAGCTACTTAAAGCATAAAAAATATACCAATGAAACTTCGAGTCCCATTATCATCGAGTTCTGTACAATAAGAGGTATTTCAAAATACCTCATTTTTCTGTTTTTTTGAAAAAAATTTATTTTTATACAAAACATTACAAGGTAGGACAAAAATAAAGTAATATGTAGAAAACATTCCTACATTGTTTTACTTACATGGATTAAACAAATGTTGAATCATTTATGTTGGCAATTATAAGTGGACAATAACAAATGATTGTACAAAAGTTCAGTCCAATTTTAACACTCAACTTTGCACAAGTTTCACTATGCAACTTGGAAGGATAAAAAAATGTACCATCCACACACGTACGTACATAATACCTCAAGAAATTTGTACATTAAATCGCAATACATACATATATAAAATCCCAATACTTATAGTACATAAAATCACAACACATACGTACATAAAATCAATATAATATGTAAATAGAATCCCAACAGAATAATAAATGTGTACTGGGGTAGTTGAATATTAATTGAACTATGGATTAGAATCACAAATAGCTTCAACAACCACTCCCACCCACAGCGCCACCACTTGTACTATAAATATATGTCAATAGAAGTGTTAGAAGCACCCACAAGAAAATGTCTTCCTCTAGGCCAACCAATGGTGTGCTACCAAACCATAGAAGACGCACAGTCAGCCCCAATTACCCCACCTTCGGACACATTTTTGTGCGTCAACCACCCTCTATTGTAGATCCTCCCCCTACCCTGTAATACCTTATTATGCGTTTAGATAAGTTCGGGAGTGACTTGACTCGCTAGTCGAGTATTGTGAAGAGACTGGATCGGCGCATGAAGAGGCTTGAAGCACTATGGAATGATGGGTATGACAACCAGGTCTTGGAAGTTCTCAACTCCTCTGACGCCAAAAGCGATGACAGAACCTGAGGAAGGACGACTGTGTTTGGAGGCGGCTGGTTGTAAAGGACCCCTTATCAATATGCGAAAGTTTGCTATGAAGGAGTATTTGGAAGGTTCTCTATTTTGCTGTGTTGGGTTTGGACCTTCTATGTATGTATATATGATGGTGTGTTTTTTGTATGTTTTTGGTGTAAGAATTATGTGTATGATGTATGATATTAAATGATATATGAAGCCATATATATTTAGGAATGAACATTACTTGTTATGCAATGTGAACATTACTATATGAAGCCATTTTAATATGAAGCCATATATATGTATAAATTCATGTTACTATATATATGCATAGGGGCAGTGTGAAAAAAAAATGATGAATAAGAATAATATTAGACAAGTGATGAGGAAAAAGGAAAGAAAAATTACATATGTATGATGGCTTAAATTGTCACTAAACTACCATAAATGGGGAGTTAAATGGTGACAATTTGATAGTTAAATTGATAGGAAATGGTTGTCCATTTGTAGTAACTCCAAAATATCTCTCATTAAACCCGTCATAATTGTAGTCTCTCTCATTAAGCTATAAATATGAAGGTATATATATGCATGGGGGCGTAGGGTGAACATGACAGACTAGTTAAGCCATAAATATCAAGGCAGATATATGATCGACCAAATTTAAACACTCACCTTTGCACAAGAGTCTGTATGGTACTTAAATGATAAAAAATGTACCAATCGAATACTGAGACCAACAATAGACTATTGGTTTAGGACTAGGGATGGCAACGGGGGCGGGTTTAAGCGAGTGTACCCTCCCCCGCCCCCGATTAAAAACCCCGCCCCCGCCCTCGTCCCCGTCCCAAACCGCAAAAAAGGGGGAATTTTTCACCCCATCCCTGTAACCGTTTAACATTTTTACCCCCGCGGGTACCCGGCCCGCCCCGTTTAAGACCACAATTTATTTATTGTTGAAATATATTGCAATACTGTTTGTTCTCTCTTCTTCAATTCTTCACCATTGCAACTTTCCTTTTAATCAAATTCATTTGTTACTTTAATATTGTTATATAGGGTACTTAATATATAGTGGTAAATATATATACTATTGAAATAAAAGTACTTAAGTAATTTGCCTATGGTTTTGATTAGTTGAAATCATCCTTACCCAAAACCGCCTAAAATGGTACGGTGCGGGCCGGGTAACCACGTGGGCAGGTAAAATTTTCATACTTAGGTAGGACAAAAATATGAACCAGGATCACCTCTAGTCCCACCATAGCCTATTTTTAATTCATGTGGCCAATTCTCCTCCACTTATTCCAAAATGGTAGAAATGGCACACTATTTGACTAGAGGTGATTTTCACCCCAAAAATAAACCAATGTGTAGAAAACATTCCTACATTGTTTTACCTACATGGATCAAAGACATGAATCACTGAACCTTTGCCCTGGGTTCCAGTCTCTCTGTCCTTGGCTGCCAACCTCTAAAAAGAGGTATTATAAAATACGTCCTTCTTGTTGAATTTTTTTGGTTAATGAAAGGCAAAGATATAAGTTCATAAACTTATATAACTCATATCAATTTAAAAAAATATATCCGAAATTATTTTCTTCAAATTTAGATATAAAATGTTATGAAATATAAAATAAAGAGTATATATATTTAAGAAAAATTAACTAACAAGGCAACTACTTCATTCTGCATGAAATTATACATATGTATTGTACACAACATCCCAATAAGTACGTAACAAAATAGAATAAGTACATACATAAAATCTCAACTACTACAAACATAAAATCAATTTAATTTGTAATATCAATCCCAAGAACTGGGTAGTTGAATATTTATTCATGGATTGGCTTATAAACATAAATCGGTTCAACCACCAGTCCCACCCACAGTGCTACGACTTGTTCTATAAATATATGTGCTGAGTAGTGTTCGAAGCACCCATGAACATCATGTCTTCCTCTAGGCCAAGTAACAATGGTACACTACCAAACCACAGACCAAGCAGACCCAGCCCCAATTACCACACTTTCACTCCTTTCTCTGTTCGTTAATGAAGATGCAAGAAATTCATACTCCCTTTCTCTCTCTAGAATTCTTACATTTCAACCAAAAAATATCTCCCCTTTTCTTTCCATTACTTCTCCTATTTATAGATATTTACAAATGTTGACGGACTGCTGGATCTGGGCCTGTTCCTCCATAAGTCCTGGTCACCTTTGATGGGCTTATTCGCGTTCAGCCCATATGGCAGTGTCTTTTTATGGGCCTGACCCATCTATACGGACCGGATGTCGTGTTTGCAAGTCATATCCGGCCCATGTCATCTCGGGCCTCCTCAACTGCCCCCATAATTACCCCTTATTTAATAAGGGGGTAATTATTGATGGCGTCTCATCATGACATTGACGGCTCGAGAAACCCACATGGGGGAACGGACAGTCAGATCCAGAATCAATGTTCCGGGGCTCGATGAATTTCTCGCCTTCCTGACGCTTCGGCCCTCGGGTCCCCCTCGCCTTTATAAGGCTCTAGAATACCACTTTATGCCTTTTTACCGTCTCCATCATCAGTCAAATCTCTCTCTTTTTAGAACAGTGCTAAGCTTTTTCTGGTGAAATCCTTCAAGAGTCATTCTTCCAGCGATCTTGCAGTGCTCTTTGTTGCTCTCTACCTCAGAGGTTAGTTTTGTTCCTTTTTACTTTCGGCAGGCTTCTTTTTACCCTTTTAGATCCTTCAATCACTTCCACCATGGTTGTAGATCTAGATGTTCTTCGTATGAGACTTAGACTTCCTGACAACATCCAAATTAGGGTTTGCCCTAAGGATGTTAATATTATGACCGGTGCCGGCCTCCTCCCCGACGAAGTTTTATTTTCAAACCTTCAACTGAATGTCGTTAGGTTCCCTCTGCATCCTTTCTTTAATTATGTCTTCAATAGACTAGGGATATCCCCCCTGCAGGTAAACCCCAATTTCTTTAGAATCATATCCGTTATGCTACTGTTGATTCGTGACAGAAGTCTAGAACTTGACCTCATAGATCTTCTTCTATGTTATAAGGTCAGTAAGATCCGAATTAACGAGCCCTTCTACCACCTCTACCTGATCGAGAAGATGTCCATATGCACGGACACAATCAAATCTAAAAAGGGTTGGAGGGATAACATTATGGGTATTAGTGGGGCTTGGTCTTCGCCTGCTGCAGAGGATTATCCAATCACAAGCGCCTTTGGCGTCTGTTCTGTTTCCTCATATAAGAAATTCAAATCTCACAAAAATGATTGTCCCTGCGAAACATGTGTTCCTCGCTTTTGTACTTTCTTATGCCGCTCCTTAGGAATACCTTGTGATGACTTGAGCTACAGTGTTTGTAGGGATAGGAGTAATTACTTGAAGAAATACGTTCTGAACGATATTCCTTCCTGCTCAGACCTCCTCACTTCAGACAACCTTCTAGCGCTCTCAACCCTCGGCTATACCATGAGCAGGCTTCAGATTCCATCTTTTGGCAGGAAGAAAAATACTCCCCCAGCCACTTCTGCTGCTGGGGCAACCTCCTCTCCTGCATCAGCCTCTTCCTCAGCCACCATTTCTGACACCATCCCGAGCACGGTGGCTATTGACTCTGTTGTCAGCACCCCTGCTACCATCCCGAGCGCATCTCCACAAATCACTACAGCCCCTGCTGCCGCTGGGGGCGCTCGGGACAAAGAACGAGGCAAAAGGCCTCATCCTGACAGTGGAGTCGACCCTGAGGAGGAACCTCTTATAAGAAGGACCCGGGTCTCTGGGCCGGGTGCTCTCTTGCACCGCCCAGTCAGAGCTCCTGCCCCCTCCGGGCCTGTTGCAGCTGGTGCCTCTGCTTCTACTTCAGGCTCCCCTTCTCTTCCCACTTTACTACCATGGGCTCCTCGGTACACCCGAACGGATGGGACGTTCGTGAAGCCGAACGAGACCATGCTAAAGGATGGCCAGACCGCCATGGCGTATTATAGGAGCATGTGGACTCCGAAAGACCTTGAGGCGGCGAAAGGTCTATCCCAGAAGGATGTGTTCAGCCGCTTTCCCCAGTCTGCCATGGAGGTGACTTTTATTTTCCAACTCATGAACCCTCTCATATTATTTGGTCTTACCTTCGTCCGACCAGACTATCGGTTTAACCATTATTAATGTATATCTATGCAGACTTTGTTCAGAATGATGGCTATGCAGAAGCAGGTTGAAATGGGGAACGCCAGGGCTCGTAAGTTTTCTGATAGCCTGGAGGTGGCCAATAAGGAAAACGACCTTCTCGCCAGCAAGAATACCGAGGTGTTGGCTCGGCTTGAAAAAACCGAACAAGAAAGAGATGTCTTGAAGAAAGAAAACGACTCTCTTCAGGATGAGAAGGATGCCCTCCAGCTTGAAAAGAGTGTCTGGCAGACTGAGCGTGATTCAATCAGAGACGAAAAGGCAGAGCTTCAGCGCCTTCTGGCTGATGAACAGTCTGCTCGGATGGCTTTTGAGAAGAGAGCTCTGGACGATCGTACTGCTCTGATTGATACCATCAGCGGAGTGAACGGTAGGATGCTGGCTCTTTATGCTCGGTTCTCAAGGGTCGGCGCTCTTAGATATGCTCAAGGATTCCGAGAAGGTTTTTCCGACCGAGTTCCGGATGAGGGACAGACCAGCTCAACTCCAGATGAGGTCGATAAGGATTTAGGGATTGACCCTCTGGGGGTCTATGTTGACCCAGAACCCACCGAAGCGGAGCACATATTTGATGAGTTCTAGGACATTGCTTCCTCTAGGATCTCTACAGCTCCTCCTACCGCTCTGCCTCTAACCGCTCCTCAATCGTCAACTGTGGTACCTCCCATAGCCACTGCTGACGTTGGCCCCCAGCAGAATGACTCTGTTATTCACCTTGATTCCCCACCTCGTGAGGGTGAGATGGTTGATGGGACCGAGGAGGCGGGTCGGCACAATCAGGAGGCTGTCGGTACTGAGGCAGCTAGCTAGGA